AGTATATTAGTGGCATCTTATGCAGAGCGATTATAGTCATTGCTCATAGTATATCAGTGGCATTTTATATAATGCGATTATAGTCATCCATAATGTATCAGTGGCATTTTATGCAGAGTGATTATAGTCGCCTGTAGTGTTTCAGCTGCATCTTATGTAGAACGACTATAATTGCTCATAATATATCAGTGGCATTTTATGCAGAGCGACTATAGTTGTTTCTAGTGTATCAATTGCATTTTATGTAAAGCGACTATAGTCGCCCATAATGTATCAGTAATATTTTATCTAAAGCGATTATAGTCAGTCGTAGTATTATACGTTAGTAGCATTTTATATGTGACTACAGTCACCCATAGTGTATTAGTAGCATTTTATGCAAAACTACTATAGTCATCCATAATGTATCAGTGATATTTTATCTAAAGCGACTATAGTCGCCCATAGTATTATACGTCAGTAGCATTTTATGTTCGACTATAGTCGTTCATAATATATCAGTAGCATTTTCAGATATCAGTAGTATGCAGAACAACTATAGTCATCCATAATGTATCAGTGATATTTTATCTAAAGCGAATATAGTCGCCCATAGTATTATACGTCAGTAGCATTTTATGTTCGACTATAGTCGTTCATAATATATCAGTAGCATTTTCAGATATCAGTAGTATGCAGAACAACTATAGTCATCCATAATGTATCAGTGATATTTTATCTAAAGCGATTATAGTCGCCCGTAGTATTATACGTCAGTAGCATTTTATGTTCGACTATAGTTGTTCATAGTATATCAGTAGCATTTTCAAAACCATTTTCAGATATCAGTAGTATGCAGAACAACTATAGTCATCCATAATGTATCAGTGATATTTTATCTAAAGTGACTATAGTCGCCTATAGTATTATATGTCAGTAGCATTTTATGCAGAACTACTATAGTCATCCATAATGCGATTATAGTCGCCTGTAGCGTTTCAGCTGCATCTTATGTAGAACGACTATAATCGCTCATAATATATCAATAGCAATTTTTGTAAAGCGACTTTAGTTACCCATAGTGTATCAGCATTTTCATTTTATGTAAAGTGACTTTAGTCGGCCATAATATATCAGTAGCATCTTATGCAGAGCGACTATAGTCGCCCATAGTTATTTTAGTATATCAGTAACATTTTATGCAGACTTTAGTCACTCATAGTATTATATATCAGTTGTATCTTATGCAGAATGATATAGTCACCGTAATGTGTCAATTGCATTTTACGTAGAGCGATTATCATCGGTCATAATGTATAAATGACATTTTATGCAGAGCGATTATAGTTGTCTCAGTTGCATTCTATGTAAAACGACTGTAATCGCCCGTAATAACGAAAGGGTTAAAGACGAAAGAACGGATCTTTCGGATCAGCGAACTACCGCGAATTTTGGAAGGGATTCGAATTCGGTCACGATCGTGGAAAAGGAAAGAGGGAAGGAAGTTATCTCGTAGCACAGTAACAGAATGGAAAGAATCAGCCTGTTGCCCGTTGTCTCGTTCTCGCGGACAAGAGCAAGGGTGTGTGTGTTGACGCACTCGTTCATCGCGCGAAAAAACTGCGCTCGGATGTCGTGCAAAGCGGGGAGGAGAGGAGGGGGGGGGAGGAGGGAAGGTTGTGCAATCGAACGGAAAGAGAACGATGATCGGTGTACTGTGACTAATCATTGCCCGCCCCTAGCCTTGTCCATGAAAAGGTGGTGCAAGTTGGAGCGCGAATAATGCGCATGCATGCACTTTGTATTTATAGCCGCGACCCTATCGCAGCAGAAAATTTAAGTGGCTCGAGTCTCTCTATCCTTGCTTGCCAATCCTTCTTCCACCTCGATCCTCTTCTCACGAAAAATCTCCGATTAACTTGTCCAGTCACGATTCGGACGCGTATTCTTATCGAAAAAAATTTTTTTTTTTCTTTCTTTCTTTCGTCCAATTTTTTTTTTTTTTTTTTTTATTCATATTATAATCGATTGTTATTATAATATCGATCCGTGATCAGTGATTAGCGAATGATGGAACGGGGAAATTGCGATATTGGCAAGTTTATTCAAAACGATGCTACGTGTTTCTAGGTTCAACGATTATGTTATAAGAACGGTGTTCGGCTAAAGATAGATAGATAGGGATAGAAGGCTTTAGTTTCGCTGGGAAGATAATATTGATATCGATCGAGGCTCGAGGCAAGTTCGCTGTTTTTCAATCGGGCGAGCT